CTGTCATTTCATCCCATTGCCCGGTTCTTCTCACCCCTATTTGTTCTTCTTCTTTCGTTCTCTTCTGTTTCTTGAGGCGGGGTTGGGTTTTTGTTTGGGTTTTTGTTTGGGGTTGCTGGGGGGCAGTTGTATACACATGGATGAAAACATCCCTTTAATGCGGGTACTTGTGACTATTGCAATTTGTTCTTCAGTCCTTTGATGTGAATGCTTTGACAGCTTAACAGTGAAAATACAAACAGACCAATCTCATTCACCAGCACTTGCGTGGTCACCAGCTCACACACATCATTTCTTGGAAAATATGGGAGAGAAACTGAAGTGGCAGAAAATAAATTGGCCTCCAAGTTAAAACAGCTATTGTTAATTTGACCCTGGCAATTCTGTCTAGTATTATTTCATTTTGCAGGGCACAAGTGACCAATTCATCAGATGAAATTTCTAGTCTTCATGGTTGTTTCTGTTGTAACAATCACCATTATGATCTAGGATCTTCATCATCATCATCATGATCCCATCATTATCTGAAGATTGTTCCAGCAGATGCAGTTTAATTGTGCCCCATAAATCAAGTACTTAAAATAATGCAGAGTGTTAGAAGGGACTGACTCATTTTTTTTCCATGTGTATAAGAAAGTAAGATCCTTCAGTTCTTACTACATTTGAACTCCAGGTAACTTCACTGGAAGGTCTGTTGGAGTAAGGAGGGGAATTTGATCCTCTGAGGTGCTTTTCCTGAGAGTGAAGAGGTCTGCTTTTTCTGACGTGCATGGAAAATTAGTCACTCTGAGGGAAAAGGCTGTCTGTCAGGACAGCAGGCTTTCCTCAGAGTTATTCAGGGATATGAATGCTCACAGAATGAGGACAAGGAGAACGAAACATACGGGGTGACCTTCAGATGGGACAGAAACCAACTGTGTTATTAATGACACTAAAGACTGTACAGCTTTATCCCAGTAATACAAATAGTGTTGCTTGGCAGTAATCTTTTGTTTTATATATATATATAAAGTTTATATGCACGTATATATATAATTTTATATATATATAATTACAAATCTTCAGCAGATGTCTTAAACATATTTCCATATTTTTATCTTCTCTCTCTCCTTCTCTCACCCTCTCCTGTGCGTGTGTGGGTTTATGTGTGTTGATCAGCTAGGTTCTCCCTCCTTGGTGTCTGTGTCTGTTTTATTTGGCTAGATTCTCTCTTGATTCCTTTAATTTATTTCCACTAGCTGCACTAGCAGGAACCGAACTGAGCAATGACAGGATGTCCTGCTGCCGAATTCTGCAAGCCAGTACTCACAGTCCTGGAATGTTTGGAGGCCGGTGTTGAGGGCGTTATAGGTAGAGGTTCCTCTCTGTCATCCATCTCCATTCAGGGGTATTGTCCCTAGGTTTTATAAACTTGATAGTAAACCATTCTCTGAATTTGTATGATACATCAAAAGCATCCTTCTGTTCTTCCTGGGAACCAGCGACAGTTCACCTATTTTGCATTTCCTCATACCCCACGTTCATTCGCATTGTGCACTCATTTGTACCAGTTTCTTTCTCTGCTATTTATTGCTATATTTGCCTGGCAAGTCGGTGGGCATTGTTAGGGTGGATGTGTTGACTTTCAAAGCTCATGGCCCGTATCTAAATCCGTATGTTCTTTGTTTATCCCCTCATGAAGACATGATACTCAGGAAAACTTACCTTGTAGGCGGAACACAGTATGTGTGTGTCAGGGGTTAAATTCTTTCCACCCCTCTTACCCTACATTATTGATAAAGCATTTGCAGTGCTATTGGCTATGTTTTCAGGGATATGGAATCTTGTTCTCCCTGTTCTTTGATACCATATGCACCTGTGATGAGTTGTGAGCACTGATATTATCACTTAGGGGTTTGTACCCATAATTTTGTGAGAACATAAAACACAATGGGGTGTTTAGGGTTTTTTTGCAATTAGCAGGGAAGACAGACCATTGGAAATTTGTTCTTAAATGTTTGCTGAAGTTGAAGAACCTCTGTTGTGGGCTGTGTTTGCTCCATCTCGAAGCATATGTGTTAACAACATCAGTCTCTATCCAAATTCCTTGTAGAGCACTATGTCTTGGGGACAAGGAGTTAGAAACTTTCTAGCTTTTTGGAACAAGAGGCCAGACAATGTGATGAACTCACATGTACTCGTGCAGAATCTCAGATGAGCAGCATCCGTAGTCAGTAAAGAGTGCTAGATATCTGATTTGGGGGTGGCTTGATAGGGAACTGATAGCATATAAGGAAAGCCAAAAACCAGCTGATCCATTACTTGCATCTATACCCACAATGTCTTGCAAAGAAAAGAGAAACATGCATGTCTTTTGGAGTTCTGTTCTGCCACGGATCTTAGCATGGAGTTCCTCCTGAAGCCAGTGCAAGTATCATCTCACCTAAATCATCTCGCTAAATGTGAGCTTGAGTTAGCATAAAAGCTTTTGACTGTGCTGCGGAGGAGACCCAGGAGAAAAAATACCACATTTCTCCTAGTAGTATTCACAGTGATCTCACTAAAAGGTCCATGATGCTTCATGTATTTTGCAGAGCTTCAGTTCCTGGGGTTGTGCTGCTGTTTGAGAGGTTCAGTCTGTCATCAAGGTCAACAATTCTTACCCTTTGGGCTATAAAGAAAATGAGTAGACTAAATGTTAATTATTTAGGTGGGAAGTCACTACCCAGCAGTGACTTAGCTCATAACTATTGGGGCCCTCATAACTGGCTTTTGAACACTTGGGATTGTCAGGACTGCATTAATCAAAAAATAAATAAAGATCAGAGGTTAGAAAAAAATGTGAGAGTTACTGGATTGACTTGGGGAAGCAGCAAGAGATGAAAGAACTTGAAACGCCGTGGGCAGAACTGCAGTTTGAGACAATGCTGAGAATTAACACTTTGCACACTGGCTGCTGTAAAAATCATTGCTCATACAGGAACTTGTCCCCCAAGGTCTACCATGGCAAGTTACAAAGTTTTAAAACAGCCTGCTTAAATGGATGTCTGAATTCAGGCATGTAAGCTGCATTTAGGCATCTGAGCTAACGGCCTGACTTCCCAAGATGCTGATGCAGTTTGGAGTTGTGCTGAATCAGGATTCAGAATATCAGGCCTCCTTCCTTAGGTGATTGCAGATGGACTGAAGTGCCCAAAATCAGGCAACCAACTTTGACAGGTTCGGCAGTGCTCTAAGCAGAAAGGACATATGCCAACATACTTTTCTAGCTTTTTAGATTAAGTTGGAGTCTGGCACTGATTAACAGAGGGGGATTAGTAGGATTCCTCAACTGAAAACTAAGACCAAGCTCTTAGTTTGACAGATTTGATGTACTGACATCTAATGGCCCCTGATCTCCTACCAGTCTTTCTTACTTTGTGTGATTTCATTGACTCCCTCAGTACGACTCCTGATTTATGTGATCGTGAGAGCAAAACTAGATCACAGGAGGATGCTCTTGCAGACTCTTACCAGTGGATACTGACCTTAGTTCTGCAAAGACATACTTGCTTTTTTAAATATCAGTGGTCTCAAGCCATTGTAGGATTGAGACACTGGATTGACCATCTGAGTGGCAGACACCAGTACTGCAGTCAGCACCCTTTGTAGTAACTGGCCTTCCCGGTGAAATAACAAACGTGCACTTTCCAGTGCAGTCCAGTCTCTCGTTTCTGGTGGTGCCACGTAACTCTTATGTTTGCTTTGTGGTCTACGTGTGGGTCTTACATAGAAGATTCTTCCTGTCAAACCTGATTGTCGCCATTCATGGTTTTGCCCTGAGTAACACGTGCGTATAGATACTCATTTCATGTGTAATCTCAGTTAAGTTATGATATTTATAATGACATACGTAGTGCATGATAATGATTTTTGTTTACATTCTGCCAAAATGTAGACGTTAGAGTTAGACCTCCAATGTCCAAAATCATCCTTGAGCAGACTGCTTGCTTCTTCAGAGGCAGGCATCAGAAAGAGGAAAAAAACTGCCCAGAAAGACCATTTATATCAGAAATCTGCCAAGACAGGGCTGTTGATCACAAGCGGAGCATGTCATTGCTAGTGATGTATTTTTATGCTATGGAACTCTAACCTGTATGTGTCATATTGACTTCTTGCTGCATGAATCATAAATTATAAAAATCAGTCTTATGGTTTTGAGATGTAGCCAGCATTCCTAAGGCTAAACCTTTTTCATTGACAGAATCAAAATCCACAACCAAGGAACATACTCCTCTCACTGTGAGAGCAATTGAAAGTGTTCAACATTTATCTTTTCACAAAGGAAGAGGCGACAGGACCTCTTAATGTGTCTTGTTATTGTGATCATCTGGAAATGATTGCCAGATGTTTCCTTTTGATATAGCAATGAAGTGATCCGTATTTAAATTTTATAGAGAGAATTTTATTCTAGTGTGATAGAGATTTATTTTCCACTTAAAGACTCAAAACGGTGTGAGCACATTTTTTTACTATGGTATATTTTTGCTTTAAAATTAAAAACAAAAAAAAAAAGGTTTGGCCTTATCACAAAGTTTTAGTGTGTCGTATAGATGTTAGCAAATGCAAAGAGTATGCATTATTTGTGTGTATCCACATTGACTGATGTCGCCTTCAAAAAGCAATATTGTGCAGGTAATAAGTTGTTTGTGACTGTCCATTGCACAGTTTACCTTCTTTAAAAGCTAACCTTGTTTATGCACAAGACAATCAAATGTAAATCTACATCAGCACCCAGGTGTAGATGAAATTTATGTAAATTACTGAGCACAATGTAAAACATTGAAAGACACTTTATTTAATTACACATTTAATGTTGGTAAAGATAGTATCAGGGCATGAACTAGCTGACATACTGTAATTTCTTTTTCTCTTTCTCCTACTTC